ACCAAGAATCAAACCACTGTCTGCCAGATGAGAGCTGACTCCCTTAACCAGTGGGAACTAGACCTGCCCAATTAGCCAAATTCTTTAGTCATGAACGTGTGTGTAAAATGTATTCCTGGGGCCTGGCCCCATAGAGCAGTGGCTAAGTGCAGTTCATAGGGAATGGGATCCCATATGGCCGACCGTGATTCAAGTCCTGGCTCCTGTGGATGGAAAAACACACCAGAAGTGTGTGTATGTGTGTGCCCCAATCGTAATTGGATGGAGAAATGGAGGAACAAGGACTGTGGTATAACTATGCCGCATTGGGATAGGGTGCTTCCTTTCCCACTCATGAGCATATGACATAGTCATTACGCTAACTGCTGCCCCCGCCACTGGCACAATTTTTAAAAATATATTCCTTTTTTAGTTATATTTATATCTTCCTTTTAAAGTTATATTTATATATATTTCAGTTTATTCATTTTATTCTGTTATAACTGGGGGGACAGTTAAAATTGATACAGTGTACAACGTAACAAGCATGAGATATGTAGCTGAGGATGGTGATGAAAGAAAAAGGCCTCAGCTCTCCCTCTCCAAAATGATAAGAACAATAATAATAATGAAAAACGATAACAAAAATTAAAGAAGTCCTATTGAAACTCAAGAAAAGCCCCGACCACATCTTGCAAACATCTAAGAGTTTTTGCCAGGTTCTGGACACCTGAGACCAGAGTAAAGTAGTTGCTCCAAGCAGACCCACAGCCCTCTCCTGGGCAGACAGCGTTGGGCCATGTTTTAGAACAAATGGGTAACCCGCTCTTCTGAGCCAGCAGGCCCCGTGGGAGCTTGCCCAGGCCAACCCAGATGCCACCTACCGGGGTTGCCAACTCCCTGACTGCCTATCTACCTAGTGACCCAGGCAGGAGAAAGGCCCACCAGCCCTCGTGCAGCACACATGGTCCAGAAGGACAGGAAATATAATTAAAATCTCAGGCACCCTTTCCCAAGGGTCATTCCAGCTGGAAAGCCTAAATATCATAAGGGTATGAATGTGCTGCATTTATTATTTTCACCATGGAGACGTCCAAGAAAACTGACCTTTTCAGCTTCAATAAAAAAGGATTTTCCTGTAGGTCCTTTGACAGCAGCTGTGATCAAGAGCTGGGCTAAAACTCAATATTAAACACCAAAGAGCAGAGAAAAGAGATGCCTTCCCTTGGCCTGGGAGAGTCATGACACCCGTTTGTAACTAGATACTGGTAAGCATGTGGTGGTCTGAGCCCTGTTTGGTGAGACTCACTCACTCTTTTCCTGGGCTCAGATGGCTGGGGTGCCCTCCCACTGCCAGAGGTGCCTGCTACTTGTGCATTTGGTTCAAGGGAGGTTGGATTCAGCACAAAGCTGCAGCAGCAAGCTGCTCTGGAATTCAGTAGGACTGCTTGAAACTCAGTTCCCTTCTTGTAATATACCCAGAAGCACCAGACATCTCACTCGAACTCCTCTTCCCCTTACATGCAGTCCAGAATTGACCTTCTTGCCATGGCTTAGCCTCACTGGTGGGCAAAAGCTTTGCAAATTTCTGCTCCACCGGTTCTGCTGACCATGGTGGCCAATACATAGAGAAACAAAATGACAGTGGCAACTGTGCTGTCTTGCCCTGAAACAGTCTAGGACAGTGGTCACACCCAGTGTTCCTGTTAAACACCAGTGGCTAGACCTCAGGCATTTCTTTCTACTCCTTCCAGTCCTGCCATTAAAGCCATTTAATGATGTATTTATTTATTTATTCATTCCATTGGTGAAAGAGACAGGTACCCCCAACAGGGTCTTTTTTTATTTTTTGGGGGGGGAGAGGTTTTTGCTATAGGGCGCATGCGCTCGCCAGACAGACAGAGAGAGACAGACAGAAAGCGAGAACTCACCCCCCGCCCCAGAGGGGGATGGCTACGCTGCAATCCCTTCTCCTCCATTCTCCTCTCGGGATCTTGGGCACGCACGCACACGCGCCCAGCGTGAGTTTTAAGCCACCAGGTCCGGGACACGACTGCTGGTCCCCCCCAACAGGGTCTTGATGCTGTAATCCACCTGTCGCCTCTGTCAGTCCTGGATCACGGACATGTTTGTACCCAACATGCTCTGGGAGGTCTATGGATGTGGACCTGAACCTTCCCCTATGGGTCAGCCTAGCTGAACAACACGTTTTACTACTATACCACTGTTTGGCCCCCAAAATGAAGCAATTAAAAATAGTATAAACCGGGAACCAGCAGTTAGCGTAATGGCTATGTCGCTGGACTCCCACGTGGTCGACCGCGGTTCGTGTCCCGGACCCGGTGGCTTAAAACTCACGCCGGGCGCGTGTGCGTGCGTGCCCAAGATCCCGAGAGGAGAATGGAGGAGAAGGGATTGCGGCGTGACCATCCCCCCTGGGGGGTGATTTCTCGCTTTCTGTCTCTATGTCTCTCTCTGTCTGTCTGGCGAGCGCACGCGCCCTACAGTGAAAATCTCTCCAAAAAAAAAAATAGTATAAACCAACAAGGACAAAGACAGATGAAGAGATACTAGCAATAAATAATTTCAGTGAAATTTGGAAGGCAGAACTTAGATAGAGGGCAGAGTGTAATTTGAGAAGAGCAGGGAACACCTGAGGTGCCCTGGAGGAGACTCTGGAAAGCATGAGCCCAGTCATGGAACACCCAGTCAGTAGTGAAGCGCTGAGTTACAGAAGTAACTAGGAGTGGAGGCTCAGTGGTTTAAAAATAGGGAAATCGAGTAACATCACAGAAAATGGCAGAGTTGAGAGACATAGAAATCTGTCCTTCCACCCAAATATCTATTGGGCTGATGGAAGCTGTCTGAAGTAACTATTTTGAACTCTGCCATCCAGCTGAACACATGCAAGGCCAGGGGGAAACTTGATGAAGAGCCTGGTATATTTTTAGACATTTTCATGTTTGCATAGTGAGCCCAATTCTCCACCCAACAGCTCTTTGGTAGGCAGCTGCAGAAACAGTGAACTGTTCTGGCCGGTGCTACTATTATAGGTAATAAGGACTTTGTCCTTCAAAAACCAGAATCGTGTGCCTTGGTTGTTGACCACTTCTTTTCTTTTCTTTTCTTTTCTTTTTTTTTTTTTTGAGAGGTTTTTGCTACAGGGCGCGTGCGCTCGCCAGACAGACAGAGAGAGACAGAGAGACAGAAAGCAGGAAATCACCCCCCAGGGGGGGTGGCCACGCTGCAATCCCTTCTCCTCCATTCTCCTCTCGGGATCTTGGGCACGCACGCACACGCGCCCGGCGTGAGTTTTAAGCCACCGGGTCCGGGACTCGAACCCCGGTCAACTACGTGGGAGTCCAGCGACATAGCCATTATGCTAACTGCTGGTCCCTTGACCACTTCTTTTTAACACTCATTTTACCACTTTGGGTCCCTTGCTGGCCATTGTTTCAAATCCCAAGGGCTGAGGCAGTTTCCTCGTTGTGTGTCTCCAACATGTGGGAGACAAAAATGTAAGGAAGTCTTTGTTAGGTCACTGACTGACCGTAGAGATAATGGAACAGGAATTCAGGGACCACACACAGTAAGGAATACACACTCTGCGGAAATAGCCTGGAAAAGTCACATATGGATGGCTTCAGCCTTCAACAGGCAAAAATCAGCAATCCCTGAGGAAGGGAAGAATTAGACTTCTAGAATGGCCACACAATTCAGGAAGTCTGTATTCAACAACAACAAAATTTAAAATGTGCAAAAAACACAAACAAACAAAAAACAAGAAAATATGACCCATTCACAAAGGGGAAAAATGGTTTCTTCGAAAGAAGAAACTGAGGAAGACCCAAAATTAGGAATTATGAATCAAAGACATTAAATCAACTATCTTATATATACTCAATAGGCTACAGAGAGCTATAGACAAAGAAAGGAAATTAGGAAATGATGTTTAAAATAATGAAACTGTCAATGAAGAGAAATTACAAAATGAAACCAAACAAAGTTTGGAGCTTCAAAGTATAACTGAAATAAAAATTTCATTAAGGCATGAGTATGCAAAAGAAAGTATCGATGACCTTGAAAATAAAACAATTGAAGTTATCCGGCCTGAGGAAAAGAAAAAAAAAAAAAAGAATGAAGAGGAACCAGCAGGTGACACGGTGGTTAAGGTACTGAACTCCCACATGGCTAACTGAGGTTCAAATTACAGACCTGGAGGGACCAGCAGTTAGTATAATGGCTCTGTTGCTGGACTCCTATGTAGTCAACTCTAGTTCGAGTCCCAAGCCCGATGGCTTAAACTCACACCAGCCACATGTGAGGCATAACCATCTTCCTTGGGGGGTAAGTTCTCGTTTTTTGTCTCTCTCTTTCTGGAGAGTGCACGTGCCCTATAGCAAAAAACCTCTAAAAAAAAAAAAAAAAGAAAGAAAATTCCAGAGCTGGAGTCTTGCTTTCTCTCTCTCTCTCTCTCCCCCTCTCTCTCTAACTGTTGAACACACGTGCCCTATAGGAAATTTTTAAATAATAATGAATAAAATTAAATAAATAATTCTTTAAAAAAAGAATGAAGGAAAATAAACAGAGCTTGAAGTACTTATGGGCCGTCATCAAGTATATCAATATATCTACCACAGGAATTACAGAAAGAAAGGGGCAGAAAAATATTTGGAGAAATAATGGCTGAAAACTCCACAAATCTTATAAAGACATGATATAAACACCCAGGAAGTTCAACAAACTCCACACAGGATAAACTCAGAGATCCATGACATTGACCCATTAAACTCATGTGGTTGAAACCCGTAACAAAAAGGGAATTTTGAAAGCAGCAAGAGAAAAGCAACACGTCGTGGATGAGTAATCCTCAAGCCAATCTACAGCTGATTTCTCATTAGAAATCATAAAGACCAGAAAGTGAAGGAATAACATACTAAAGTCCTAAAAGAAAAAAACTCATCTAACAACTCTTTTTCTATGTTTTAGAGAGATTTTTGCTATAGGGCAGGTGTACTTACTGTGGGAGGCTGCGCACCGGCGAATATTGCTGGTTTCTCAGAAAGCAAACAATTACACAATGCCAAAGGCCACAGTTGGTTCCCTTCAAAAAAACCTGACCTTCAGAACCATACTCTGATTGGCCACTAGAATCCCTCAGATTTGCATATCTGGCACCTCATGATTGGTCCAAAAGCAACCAATCATAACCCACCTTTTACAACCAATCAAGGCCCACCAGCATGTATATAACCACGATGCCTGGCCCACAATCGCCAGACGACCAGGAAGACGACACAGAAGACCAGAAAGACCCTGAAGAGCTGACACCGCGTCGTCTCCGGACGACCCTGAGGGGTTGTGACACCGTGTCGTCTCCATGCTGCTCACAATAGATGACGCTACCCTGAAGAGTTGTAACACTGCGTCATCTCCGTGCTGTACCGTGCTGCCCACAATAAATGGACGACCCTGAAGACACCATGTTGTCTCTGTGTTATAACACTGTGCCTCTTGTCCCGGCTCTCACTCCTTCCCTCAGGAAACCTGTTCGACTGTCCCCTCGGGTCGGGACAGCTCACCATAGAGACAGAGAGACAGAAAGCAAAAAATCACTCCCCCCGGGGGGATGGCCACACCTCAATCCTTTCTCCTCCATTCTCTTCTTGGGATTTTGTGCATGTGCATACATGCACCCAGCATGAGTTTCAAGTCACCAGGTCCAGGACTTGAACTGCGATCGACTACGTGGGAGTCCAATGATCACTATGCCACCTGCTAGTCTCAATTAGTGCTTTTTCTTTCTTTCCTTTTTTTTTTTTTTTCTTTCTTCCTTTCTTTTGGGGGGGGGAGAAAGTTTTTGCTTATTTGTTTAGTTTTTTTGCCTTAGGGCACCTGCACTCACCAGAGATTGAGAGAGAGACAGACACAATGAGAGGGAAAGTGAGAAATCACTCCCCAGCAGGGATGGCCATGCCACAATCCTTCTCCTCCATTCTCCTTTGGGAATTTTGGGCAGGCATGCACATGTGCCTGGCATGAGTTTCAAGCCACCAGGTCTGGGACTCAAACTGTTGTCAGCCATGTGGGAGTCCAGTGATGTAACTGCTACACCACCTGGTGGTCCTGAGAGAGCGATTTTTGCTATCAGACGTGTGCTCACCAGAGAGACAACGAAAAAAAAAACCCACCCCCCCCCCCCCCCCGCCTCCCGGGGGAAAGGCCACATGGCAATCCCTTCTCCTCCATTCTCTCTCGGGATTTTGGGTACACATACACACGCACCTGGTATGAGTTTCAAACCACCTGGTCCAGGACTCAGACCACAGAGTCAGCTATGTGGAATCCAATCACCTTAACCTCCACGCCACCTGTTAGTCCATCAGCTATCAATTCTACAGTTGGCAAAACTATCCTTCAAGAATGAGGGAGGGAACCAGCAGTTAGCGTAATGGCTATGTCGCTGGACTCCCACGTAGTCGATCGTGGTTCGCGTCCTGGACCCGGTGGCTTAAAACTCACGCCGGGCGCGTGTGCGTGCGTGCCCAAGATCCCGAGAGGAGAAGGGAGGAGAAGGGATTGCGGCGTGACCATCCCCCCTGGGGGGTGATTTCTCGCTTTCTGTCTCTATGTCTCTGTCTGTCTGGCGAGCGCACGCGCCCTACAGTGAAAATCTCTCAAAACAAAAAAAAAAAAGTTGAGGAGATCATTACCAATAGGCCTGCTCCTGAAATGCTAAAGGGAATCCTCAGGCTGAAGTAACTATGTAGTCACTACACTACATAGTAACTTGAGACTGTAAGAAGAAATAACACTGGTAAAGGCAACTACATACATAAGTATAAAGTACAATATTATTTTGCTAGTTTGCTCTTTTGGTTTGGCTTGTAACGTCTCCCTTTTTCCTTTATGACTAAAAAGACAACTGCATAAAACAAAAATTGTCAATATATGCTAATGGGTAAAGTAATATGTGGGAGACAGCAGCTGGCATGGTGGTTAAGGCACTTGACTCCCACATGGCTGACTTTGGTTTGAGTTCCGGACCTGGTAGTTTGAAACTCATGCTAGGCATGTGTGCTTGTGTGCCCAAAATCCCAAGAAGTAAATGGAGGAGAAGGGACGGTGGCACGCCCATCCCCCCTGAGGTTATTTCTTGCTTTCCCTCTCTCTGACTCTGTCTCTCTCTCCAGAGAGCACATGCACCCTATGGCAAAAACAAACAAAAGCAATATGGAACAATAATAATATAAAAGGGAGGGATGTATAGGAGCAAAGTGTATTCTACCAAAACTAAGCTAGTATTTTTCAAAATAGATTGTTATAGTTTAAGAAGTCAGTTGTAATCTTTAAGGTAACCATGAACAGAATAGCTAAAAATAGACATAAATGGCAAGAAAAAAAGGAATTGAAAAGATACACAACAAAAACATCAACTAATATAGAAAAACACAGTAATGAAGGAATTAAGGAACAAAAAAATATATAACATACAGAAAAAAATAGCTCAATGGCAGAAGCAAATCCTTCTTTTTCAGTAATAACATTAAATGTAAATGAATTAAATTCTTCTGGTAAATTATAGATATTGGCAGATTGGACACATAAAACAAGATCTACTTATGTTCTGTATGGAAGAAGCTCACTTTAGATAAAAGGACACTAAGTTGAAAGTCAAAGGGAGGAAAAAAATATTTCAAGATCCTGGGAACCAGCAGTTAGCGTAATGGCTATGTCGCTGGACTCCCACGTAGTCGACCGCAGTTCGTGTCCCAGACCTGGTGGCTTCAAACTCACGCCGGGCGCATGTGCGTGCGTGACCAAGATCCCGAGAGGAGAATGGAGGAGAAGGGACTGCGGCGTGACCATCCCCCCGGGGGGGTGATTTCTCGCTTTCTGTCTCTCTGTCTCTCTCTGTATGTCTGGCGAGCGCATGCGCCCTGTAGCAAAAACCTCTCCAAAAAAAAAAAAAGATCCTGAGAGAATGAAGGAGAAGTGAGTCATGCCCCGGGGGGGGGGGGGGGTTGTGATTTCTCGCTTTCTGTCTTTCTCTCTGGCAACCACACAAACCCTATAGCACAAAGTGCTCTAAAATAACCTCACAAATATGTAGAAATTAAACAACAATATTTTTAAAATTAATTAATTAATTTAATTTGACCAGAGAGGGACAGAATGAGAAAGAGAGACAGAGAGACAGAAAGTGAGAAAGGAAGCTGCCAGGTTCAGGACTTGAACCACAGTCGACCATGTGGGAGTCCAGTGCCCTTAACCACTATGCTACTTGCCAGCTCCAGAAATGAGACAACACTTAAACAAATGAATCAAAGAACAAATCAAAGAGAAATTAGGAAATATCTTGCAACTAATGAAAACAAAAATATAACATGCCAGGGCCAGATGGTGGCCCAGAGGTAAAACATGACACAATACCATATAGGGGGGCAGCAAGTGGCATGGTGGTTAAGGGTGCTGGACTCCCACAGGGCTGACTGTGTTTTGAGTCCTGGACCCAGCAGCTTGCTCTCTCATATTCTCTCTTTCTGGGACCAGCAGTTAGCGTAATGGCTGTGTTGCTGAACTCCCATGTAGTTGACTGCGGTTTGAGTCCCGGACCCAGTGGCTTAAACTCACGCTGGGTGCATGTGCATGCGTGCCCAGGATCCCGAGAGGAGAATGGAGGCGATTTCTCGCTTTCTATCTCTCTGTCTCTCTCTGTCTTTCTGGCGAGTGCACGTGCCCTATAGCAAAAACCTCTCAAAACCAAACCAAACAAAACAAAAAACATATAGGAGGCTACTGGGTTCAAGTTCAGAGACCTCCCTGAGCATGCCAGGCACATCCCTGCCCATAATCTGGGTCTGGCTAAAGGCTGGGGTGGATCACAGCATCAAGACTCTAATGGGGATGCACTCATATGCTCTCTTTCTCTCTCTCTCTCATTCTTACTCATGAAAGAAAGAAATTTAACAGGGACCAGCAGTTGGTATAATGGCTATGTTGCTGGACTCCCATGTAATCAACCATGGTTCGAGTCCCGGACCCAGTGACTTAAACACACCAGGTGTGTGTGAGTACATACCCAAGATTCTGCGAGGAGAATGGAGGAGAAGGGACTGCAGCATGGCCATCCCCCCGGGGGGTGATTTCTCGCTTTCTATCTCTCTGTCTCTGTCTTTCTGGGGAGCTCATGCACCCTATAGCAAAAACCACTCCTAAATAAATAAATAAATAAACTTAACAAAATCACAACATACCAAAACTCATGGGATGCAGCAAAAACGGTAGGAAAATTTATAAGAAAGGAAAATTTATAGAAACAAACACATGTATTAAAAAATAAGGTAAATCTCACATCAGTAATCTAACTATACACGTTAAGGAACTAGAAAAGGAAGAAGAAACTAAATCCAAAGCAAGGAGGAAAAATAGTAGAGTGGTAGGAGGGAAAATAAATAAATTAGAGAGAGACTAAAAATCAAATAGAGAAAAATCAATAAAACCAAAAGCTACTTCTTTGAAAGGATTGACAAAATTGACAAACCTTTAGTTTAAACTAAGGAAAAAAGAAAAAAAGACTCAAGTTACTAAGATCAGAATTGAAAGTTGGTATATCACCACAGATTTTGTAGAAATAAAAAAGATTAGAAGAGAAATACCACAAAGGACAGACTGTGGTAAAACATGATGGTCTCTGAAGCAATCTCACATAGAAAAGTTCCTCATTCAAGTCGAGATTGTGGCATGTCAGGTGCATGTGTGTGCATGCCCAAAATCCCAGGAGAAGAATGGAGGGGAAGGGATAGAGGCATGGCCATCCCGCCCTGGGGGATGATTTCTCACTTTCCTTGTCCTGCCTCTCACTGTCTCTTTCCAGTGAACACTATATGGCAAAAAAAAAAAAAAAAGAAGAAGAAAGAAAGAAAGAAAGAAAGAAAGAAAGAAAGAAAGAAAAAATTAAGTATATATAAGTTGAATGAAAAATAATACTTCATTATTTTTTAACTATTTAATTTTATTTTTTCATTTATTTATTTTAATTTGACAAGACACACA